GGCCTAGGTCCAGTCCCTGCATGGTCCTTTGTTGGTGCTTCAGTCTCTGTAAAACCCCTTGGTCCCAGGTTAGTTGACTCTGTTGGTCCTCTGAAAGGATTCCTAAAAGGTAGAAAATCTAAGATATCAATTGGTTAGAATCTTTGTTCATCAAGAAACATTGCCAAAACATGCTAGAAAATGTGACCTACCAAAAAGGAGAGGAGAGTCACTGTCTACAGATAGCTGAATTCTTATTCATAGTATATAAAGAACCCCTATAAGGCCTTAAGGCAGGATGCTCTCAAAAGGTTACACAGAAACTGCATAGAAGCAGTTAGTCAAATGGCCTGTGCAGGGTTGCTTAGCTTTATCAGTTTTTGAGTTCTCTCTTTGGAGAATTTTTTGTTTAGATGTGTACCCCACTATTTAATTGAGTTATTTGTTCTCTTGACATAGTTTTTTGAGTTAGCATACCTTTTGGATATTAACCTTTTCCCATTCTCTAGGATGTCACTTTGTCCAAATGACAGTGTCTTTTGCTTTGCAGAAGATTTTACTTCTATGAGATCCCACTTATTAATTAATGATCTACTTGTTTGTGCTAATGGTAATCTGTTCAGAAAGTCACGGTGTCAGTGAATTCAAGACAATTCCTCACTTTTTCTTCTATTAGTGTCAGTGTATCTTTTTTTTTGTGGAGGTCTTTGATCCATTTGGAGTTGAATTTTGTGCAGGTTGATAAGTATGAATCTGTTTGGATTCTTCTACATGTAGCCATCCATTTTGACCAGTACCATTTATTGAAGATGCAGTCTTTTTTTTTTCCAGTGTGTATTTTTTGGATTTTTTTTAATATAAAAAAAACAGGAGTCCATAGGTGTGTGGATTTATGTCTGGGGCTTCAGTTCAGTTCCATTGATCCGATGTCTGTTATTGCGCCAATGCAATGCTGTTATCATTGCTCTGTAGTAAAATTTCAGGTCGGGAACGGTGATACTTCCTGCAGTTCTTTTATTCTTCAGGTTTGGTTTAGCTATCCTGGCTTGTTTTATGTTTCTGTGTGAAGCTAAAAATTGTCCTTTCAAGGTCTGTGGGAAAAAAAAAGTGTTGAAATTTTGATGAGGATTTCATTGAATCTGTAGGTTGCCTTTGGTAAGATGGGCCAGTTTTACTATATTAATCCTACCAATCCATGAGCATAGGAGATCTTTTTATCTTCTCATATATCTTCTTTAATTTATTTTTTCAGTGTCATACAAGTCTTTTACTTGCTTGGTTAGAGTTAGCTCAAAATATTTTATATTATTTAAGGCTATTGTGAAAGTTGTTTCCCTGGTTTCTTTCTCAATCTATTTATCATTTGCATATAGGAAAGTTGCTAATATTTCTGAGCTGATTTTGCATCCAGCTACTTTGCAGAAGGTATTTCTGAGCTGTAGAACGTTCCTAGTAGAATTTTTGGGGCAACCTACGTATGCTATCAGATTATCTGCAAAGAAAGATACATTAAAAGATATTATCTGCGAAGAAAGCTAGTTTTCTTTTCCTTTCCCTTTTGTATCCCCTTGATCTCCTATAGCTTTCTTATTGTTCTAGCTAAGGGATTGGTGATGAACCCCTTTAATCCCAGCACTAGGGACGCAGAGGTAGGTGAGGCTCTGTGGGTTTGAGGCTAGCCTGGTCTACAGAGCAAGCTCCACAATAGCCAGGGCTACAGACAGAGAAACGCTGTCTCTATAAAACAAAATAAAAAGACTTCAGAGTACTACACTGAATAGGTATATAGAGAGCGGGAAACCATGTTTTATTCCTAATTTTTGTGGAACTGCTTTGAGTTTCTCTCTATTTAAGTTGTTGGCTATGGGCTTGAAGAAACTGCCCTTGCTCTGTTGAGGTAGGTCACTTGTAGCCCTATTTCCAGGACTGTCATCATGAAGGTGTGGACAATTTTGTCAAAGGACTTTTCTGCTTCTAATGAGATATTCATGTAGTTTTCACCTTTCAATTTGTTTATATGATAGATTATATTTACCGATTTATGTATGTTGAATCATCCTGCATCTTTGGGATAAAGCCTACTTGGTTAAGGTGAGTTATCTTTTTGAAGTGTTTTTGGATTTGGTTTGAAAGTATCATTTATTAGTTTGTTCATTCTCCTCTCATACAATACATCCCAACCGAAGTTGCTCCTTCCTCCTCTCTTCCCAGCCCTCATCTCACTTCTCCACTACCCAATATCTACTTTTCTATTTCCCTTCAAAAAAGAGCAGACTTCCTAAGGATGTCAAATATGGCAAAACAAGTTACAATAAGACTAGGCACAAACCTCTGTACCAGGGCTGGATGAGGCAACCCAGTAGGAGGGAAAGGGTCTCCAGAGCAGGTGAAAGAGTGTGAGACACCCCCACTCCCTTTGTTAGGAGTCCCATAAAAACACTAAGTTAACAGCCATAACACATATGCAGAGCACCTAGCACAGACCTATGCAGGCTTTATTGTTGCTATTGAAGGCAGAGAAAGGGGACATAAGTAAAATAATATAGGAATTTTCTCCACACTTACAGTGGCCAGGAAAAATTTTTCTCTGGCACCTTCAGAAAGGATTGCAACTCTGTGAACACCCTGATTGCAGCTTAATGAGACATTACAGAATTCTCATTCCTAAAACTGGAGGATAATAAATGTGTGTTGTTCTAAAATACAAATTTTATGATTAGTTGTTATGGCAGCTATTTAAAATTCGTGTGTTCTTCCTTAGCTTATAAGCAGGATAAAGACTCCCTCTCAAAGCTATGGACTTCCCTCTAGATGGCATGGGGTCGAAGCTCTGTATTGCAACGAGAATTTCCTCTTCTTTTCCCCCTTTCTTCCAAGACATCTCAGTTCGTAATCTTCTCGAGGGGGGGTAGGGAAAGAAAAGACTGGATTGGGATAATGGCTAGAATGCCAGACTCCACCTCATCATATCTTGGTATGTCCTGGGGAGTATGCTTGGTCCTAATTATTTGAAACTCTTCTTAGAATATAGGGTTACTTGCAGATTCTCCAAACTCACGTTGACTCTCTGCGTCTACTTCCAAGACAACCGGATGAGCTCAACCACATGCTCCTAAAGGTGCATAATGGAATGGCGTGGTGCACAATGGAGTCTCTCACTGTGTATTAAATCTGAGGTCTAGAGTTGAAGGCACGGGTTTTAGCAGCTCTTTGCTGCTCCTGATCAATTGTTTCTATTTTCAGTGAATAGAATTATAGTTTTGGAAGTCTAATACTACTATCACATGGAGCAGTTTAAATTACCTATTTTCCAAGAAAAAAAAAAAAAAACAAACATCCAATATCCAACCTCAATAGTAGCTTCCCAAGAGCTCAGTGGACAGGAAACTGGCTGGGTATTGGCTCCTTCCTATCGAGCTCTTTGTTCATTCTTCTTCTTTTCATCCCAGGCACATTCCTTCTTCAGCTTGCCTCAACAAGGGAGCTAGCTAACTCTGTATCTGGTATGCAAACATGGGGCTGTGAGTAAGGTTCCATCTTAGTTCTAGCTTAGACTCCATTTGAGAGGATCTCAGTTCTTCCATTACTGTTCCTCTGGGGTTCCGTGGATGAATCACCTTATTCATTATAGTCACTCTCTCCACATCCAATAGACAATTTGGTTTTAGCATCCCTGCTCTGCTGCACCACTACACTGACTCACCGCACCACTCTCCAGCCTTTGCAATTCTGCTGTCACTCTGGCTTGCTTTCACCTCCTCTCCTGCTCACTTTTCTTTAGCTAGAGTCATAGAGCTATGCACTTTTGTCTACCGTACTTATGGAAAGTGGTCCTGGTAAGGAGTAAATAATTGTAGACTATCAGTGGGCCTTATTTATCCACAGATCTCCATTTGTTTTGAAAATCCTTTAGCCTGTGTGTAACTATTATATTACCTGCAGAGAACAGTGCACACATAACAATTCTACTTCTCTGGGTCAAAAATGCCATTTCTTACCTTTTGAATGTCTTTAAAAAAATGTCCTTAATAGAATGTTTCAGAAAAATCTGTGAGACTACATGCTCCCAGTAGCAATTTAGTTAAATAGCAAGTGTGGCCTCCACTGGCGTCATTTGCAACACCTAGTTGCCATGGTAACATGCGCTATAAAAAATGAAGCAACTAAATAATAAAATACTGTATCCTTCTCTTCAGCACTGGGCATTTATAGTGTTCAAATACTTTTCATGGCTGATAGGTCTCCTTTCTAAAGGGCATATATTTGCTTCTGGCTGTTAAAAGAACTTAAATTGGATTCTTGCTTTTGACGTGTAGATTTTTTTAAAAAAATCATAAAAAATAATAATTCAGAACTTGATATCACTTTACTTTCAAATATTATCAACTGTCACAAAAAAGGATATCAACATTTTAATTAATTAATTTTTACTTATCTGGGCATGTTTGTGGGTGCCTCCCTGCATTTGAGTGTACCACCTGCCTATAGGTGGCCATATTGACCAGAATTGGGTTTTGGACACCTGAACTGAAGTTATAGGCAGTTGTAAGCAGGCTTGTGGGCGCTTGCCAGTGAATGCCAGAACTCTGCAAGAGCTGTAAGTGTTCTTAATCACAGAGCCATCTCCCAAGCCTCAAAACGGACACCTTAAAAAGAGGTTTTGGTTATAGATTAAGTAATTTAGTGAATAGGGTTCTAATATAATTTTGTGTGTTTGTTTATACTTTAATACTAACAGGTGGTAGTATGCAAGGTAGATGTAGCTTGTGTTACTAACTTGGATTTGAGACCTCCAAGATTCTTAATAACACTGTGTCATCAACCAGCCAACTCTTTTTTTTTTCTCTAAACATCGCTTCTCTGTACTTTGATTCAAAGATTCCAGAAAGTTCTGATGTGATATTTCATTATAAAAATGTAGTAAAATTGAACAAGTACACATAAAAACAGAATGAGTTTTGAGACACATGAAGAAAATGTAATTCTCTAGGTGGATTTGTTCTTTTTTTTTTTTTTTTAAGTTCACAGAGCCTGAAAAGTGGTCATAAATCAGAAAATGAAGGCTGAAGAGATGGTTCAGTGGTTAAGAGCATTCGCTGCTCTCCTGAAGGTCCTGAATTCAACTTCCAGCACCCGCATGGCAGCTCACAACTGTCTTGATGCTGTCTCATGATATGCAGATGTACCTGCAGACAAAGCATCCATTTACATAAAATACACACATAAATCAGAAAACAAGTTCATGATTGGCTAAAGCTTCTGTCTTGTTTTCCAGGACTCTTAGGACAGCATGAATCTGTGTAGACAGAACACTGTCTACCTTAAGGAAAAGCATCAGGTACAAAGAACATTTATTCATTTGTTTTCCAGGAACCTGAAGAGTTGAGTCAGAAGTATACTTAAAGTTGCATTATTGTTTAGCACCTCTCTGAAATGTCTAGAATGACCTACCCACTCAGTCACCAAGTGTAAAGAAATTTTAATTCAGAACATGGCTGCTCTGGCAAGAGATCACATCCAAACACCTTCCAGGTATGTGTGTTGCTGCTGGAATACAGACACACCTTTAATGCCAGGAGACAGAGACAAGCAGATCTCTGAGATCAAGACCAGCCTGGTATAGAACAAGTTTCAGGTAAAGAAAAGCTTAGGTCCAGGTGTGGTGGTGCACGCCTTTAATCCTAGTGCTCAGGAGACAGAGACATGCAGATCTCTGAGTTTTAGTCAGTTCAGCTGAGTCAGTGAGTTAAGAGGCATTGCAGTGGAGTTGAGTTCATGGCAGTTCAGTTCATGGAATTCAGAGGAAGTTTTACTGGGAAAATTTTACAGAGAAAGGTTGAAAAGAGAATAAGCTAAACACAAGTAAAGACAGAAAACGAGAAGGTGGAAAAGCCAGAGAATGGGAAGGAGCCAGCAGATTAGAATAGATTGCTAGAGTTAGTTTGAGGTGAGGCCAAGCAGAACAATTCAGTCAGAAGCGAAGGGAAGCCAGTTTGAAACAGTCAGCTTGGAGAGGCGTTTGAGCCAGAACAGCTGAATTGAACCAAACAACTAACCAGATTTCAGAAGAACTAGAAAGATTGAGCTTATTCAGCAGTAAGTCTCAGAGGCTGAAAATATTCTAGGCCTAGCGAAGCTTTATGGAGCCTTTATGGAGCGAAGCCTTATGGAAGCTTCCAGGACTAAGCCTAGGTTAGCAAGCAAATGGAGGCAGTAAGCCTTGGATTTGACAGTTGAGTCGGGTGAATAAGAGCTACTTTTACAACCACAGGTGGCCCTGCTAAGGATGATGACGTCCTGTTGGCTGAGGCTGTGTTGCTGAGGGGTAAGAGGTGATATGCTCCATCACCATCACAGCTCTTGAGAATGGACATCTCCTGTCGTCCCACGTACTTGGAGGCAAGATTAACTGCCGTCAGCATCTCCATACACTCAGCCATCAGCGTTGTTTTTTTTTTTTTCTTGACTTTGTGTAAAAGACAAATGGCTATGTACATACATTTTCTTTCATTAAAGAAAGTTCTGGAATGGAGTAGAAATAAACACAGATGATCATCCAGCTTTGTGTATCTTAAAGCACATGCTTTTGAAAATAGATTTTAAAACAATGTGACAAAGAAGCCCAGGTTGGCTACAAATACTGTTTTGGGCTTTGAAAAACATGTCACTTAAACCCCAGTACAGGCTTCCTTAGATAGTAATTGTCTAAGATAAGTGTTTCTCCCCTCAGAACTATTTTTTCTTGTATAGTTCCAAATTTAGAATTTTTTTAAAGTTATCATCATCATCATTTACAATTTATTCACTTTATATCCTAGTTGTAGCCCCCTCCCTCCATCTCCTCCTAGTCCCACCATACTTCCCTCTTCTTCCCATAACTCTCTTCCCCAGTCCACTGATAGGGGCAGTCCTCCTCCCCTACTGTCTGACCCTAGCCTCACAGGTCCCATCAGAACTGTCCCCATCTGCTTCCTCTGTTGTTTGGCTAGCCCACCCCACTAGGAATAAGTGATCAAGGAGCAGGCAACTGAGTTCATATCAGAGACTGTTTCTTCTCCTTTTACCAGGGAACGCACATGGAGATTGAGCTGTCTATGGGCTACATCTCAGCAGGGAATCTAGATCCTCCCTATGTATGATCTTTGATTGATGCATCAGTCTCTGCACTCTCCTGGGCCCTGTTTTTTGTTTGTTTGTTTTGGTTTTATCTTGTTTTGTTTTGGCTTTGTTGCTTTCCTTGTGTGGCTCCTGTACAATGGTATACTACTCAGCTATTAAAGCAAGGAAATCATAAAATTTGCAAGCAAATGGATGAAACTAGAAAAGAGCATCCTGAGTGAGGTAACCCAGAAGCAGAGAGACATGCATGATATATACTCACTTATAAGTGGATATTAGTCATATTATATAGGATAAACATGCTAACATCTACAGACATAAAGAAGGTAAACAACAAGGAGGGTCCTAGGGAAGATGCTTAAGCCTTATTCAGAAGGGAAAACAGGATAGACACTGGAAGCAGTAGAAGAAGATGTAGTAGAAGAGAGGAAGCAGGACTGGAGCCTACCACAGATGTCCTCTAAAAGACTCTAAACAAAGTCTCATCATCTGCTTTAATACCCTGCTGGGTAGAGTCTTTCAGATACCCTCTGTGGTAGGCTCCTGTCTTGTTCCTTGTTTTCACCTTCTTCCAATGTCTATTCCATTTGCCTTTCTGAATGAGGATTGAGCATCCTACCCAGAGTCCTCCTTCTTGCTTAGGTTCTTTAGGTGTACAGATTTTAGTATGATTATCCTATATTATATGTCTAATATCTACTTATAGGTGAGTATATACCATATGTGTCTTTCTGTTTCTAGGATACCTCACTCAGGATGATCTTTTCTAGCAGGGAATCTTATGAAATAAGGGGGAGAAAGAAAGACCTGGAAAGGTCTGGACCTTCACAAGGAGAACAACAGAACCAAAAAATGTGGGCCCAGAGGTCTTTTCTGGGACTGATACTCCAACCAAGGACCATGCATGGAGATAACCTAGAACCTCAAATTAGATGTAGCACTTGGCAGCTCAGTCTCCAAATGGGCTCTCTAGTAAGGGGAACAGGGGCTGTCTCTGACATGAACTCAGTGGCTGGCTCTTTGATCACCTCCCCTTGAGGGGAGGACAGCCTTACCAGGCCACAGAGGAAGACTATGAAAGACAGTCCTGATGAGACCTGATAGGCTAAGGTCAGATGGAAAGGTAGGAGGTCTTTCTCTATCAGTGGACTGGGGAGGGGCATGGGAGGAGAAGAGGGAGGGAGGGCAGGATTGGGAGGGGACAAGGGTGGGGGATATAGCTGGGATAAAAAGTGAATAAACTGTAATAAGTAAATGTTATATTAAAAAAAAAGACTCTAAACAGTAGGGGATTAAAGCAGATACAGAGACTCACAACCAAACTTTGTGCAGAGTACAGGGAGTCTTATAGAAGAAGGGGGAGATAAAAGGACCCAGAGGGAACAGGAGCCACACAAATTTAGTATCTTTAACAAGGTTTAGATTTCAATACTTATTGGTTTTATTTTAATGTACATATGAATGCCTGCATGTTTGTCTGTGGGCCGTGTACATACTAGTTCCTGTAGATGTCAGAACAGGGTGTTGGGTCACCTAAAACTGTAGTTACAGGCAGTTGTGAGTTGCCCAGTGATGGTACTGGAAACAAAACCTTTGTCCCCTGAAAGGGCAGCAAATGTTCTTAATTGCTGAGATATCACTCCAGGCCACAAGGTTTAGTCATTCAATTTCTACATGCATAAGAGCAAGAATGAAGACTCCAAACTCATCATTATGTAAGAATCATAATGATAAATTATTCAATTCACCCTATACACAGAGCTATTAAAATATTTTTTTTCTGTTATATCATTTCCCTTTGCATACATGCTCTGGTGGTTTAGCTCCCAAGCTAAACATTGTGCGGAGGGCCTCTGTCTCTTTTGCCTGCCCATGGGACCCTTTTCCCCATCCAGCCTTGATAGGAGGGTTTGTGTCTACTCTTACTGTAGCTTGTTATGCCATGTTCAGTTGATAACACTCGGAAGCTTGTGGGAAATGAAGGAACAGTGGATCTGGGAGAGAGGAAAGGTAGGGGAGGGTGGAAGGAGGGGAGGCTGTGGTTGGCATGCATTGTATAAGAAAATAAATTAAAACAAAACAAAAAAGAAACAAGCAAAATAAGCTAAAGTATTATTTTTTCAGAAAATAAAATTATATTGTGAAATATATATTACTTCACAGGAAAATGCATGAATTGAGGTAAATATTCAATAAGTTATCCTTATTTTTCAGATTCCACAGGCAAATACAATCTATACGATTTTGTTGTTTTCTGTTCTCAAAATGATATCTTCCAAGTTATTATTTAATTCTGTGAATACAAATCAATCAAATCCCGTGAAGTCCTAATTTTATATCACTATGATTTGGTGACTTAATAAAACCAAGTCCATCACACCTACATAGACTCACATGGAATCATATTATGTCAGAACTATGAAAAAATTGTTTTGATGAGGATCAAAAATTAGAGAGTTCTCTTTATTTTTTTCCCATCTCTCAGTAAAAAACTTACCAAAAAGCATATAATTTAAAACTCTGACAATAATTTCAGTAACATAAAGAACTCCCGGGAAATGCAAATGCAACAAGGCTGGCGAGCTGTGGATATTCTTCAATGACTCTGAAGCAATGCGTGTGCTGGAAAAATATAAATACATTCTTCTTTATGTCCATCCCCTCTTCATTCACACCTTCATGCCTAAATAAAAATAACTGTCTTGATACTGACATTTGGTCAGGGAAGTAAGTCTTCCTTGACCATTATAATTAACTAGCATTCATATCACTTTCTAACTCCCAATCCTCTGTGACAGGATTGGCTGTGGCAGGATAACTAGTAGCCTCCATTAAAAAAAAATCATCTTGCTGGGCAGTGGTCGCACACACTTTTATCCCAGCACTTGGAAGGTGAAGGGAGGTGGATCTCTATGAGTCTGAGGCCAACCTGTACTACAGAGTGAGTTCTGGGACAGCTAAAGATACACACATAGAAGCCCTGTCTTGAAAAACAAACAACCAAAAAAAAAAAATCATCGTAAACACACACAAAAAGATGTTGAGGGTTTTTTTTTTTTTTTTCTTC